TCCTTTGGATAAATTAAAGCCCGGTGGTGAACTTCATGATTTGTTGTTCAAGTTAATTAATAGTTTGATATACAATTCTCACTGCAAAAGGGTTGAATCCGGATTTAGGATGAACATCTATTATGTTCTATATTCTGAGAGATCGCCGACGTGAGTAATACGATCGTTGTCTCACTCTGTGTTAGAGATTACCTCTGTGTGAGAGATACGTGATAATGTTAACGAGTGATTTAGGCTGCGTATAAATGGGTAGTAAGTTTAAGTATTTGATAGAGTAGATGAAATGCAAACCTGAAAGTTTTTTACTCTCCAAAGAATGAATTCTTTTTCTGTTCATAAGTTTTGTTTCCCACATTTAATTTAAACCCATTTTAAACTCAAACTCAATAACATTTAAATTATCGAACGGAAGTTCAATAACACTAATATCTTTGACACGATAATTTCTCGGATAAATACTTCCAAAAACTTTTGTTGCTTGCCGCGTTACTGCACCAACAAAATGACGTCGTTGCTGGGGATTTGTATTTTTATTGGATCGTATTGCGATAGTTTTTTTTGTTTTTAAGTTTTGTTGATATCATATATATTGTCTATTTTCACTTTTTTATATTGATACTTGTATATGTTTACCATATTTATGAATTTTACATGTTTTGCATACTTGTGAATATAGTGTATATATTTGTTTCTCTTCACGTTTGTCAAAAATGTTGTTAGATGTGTAGTTCCGGTTAGAGCTCAAAGAGATGAGAGCAAAGGCAGAAGTGAAAGCATTTGGCTCTTCCGAAGCAACGTGATGGTTTGTAAATAATAGGCGTCAAACTTACGACGTAAAATAAGCATGTTGTATTGTTTTTAGTTTCTTTATTATTTTCATTGTATTAGTATAAGTAATGTGGTGAATTGATTAAGAAGCTAAAACTGGACCAGTTCTTAAAGTTCTCAAATCTTCACTTTTCAACTTGTTTAATTCAATTTCACCTGATCTTTTAGTATGTTTATAGTAATTTGTTTTAATTTTTTATTTTTTGTATTTGTCCAAGAGCTTTTTTGAGTATCTTGAGGAAGTTTGAAGTGATTTTCCAAGTTGACCATTTCAACTTGTGGATGTATGATAATGACATTGTTTGAAGTTGGTACACGTTAGGTACTTGTTTATTGCTTTCTATAGCATAAGATATTTAGAAAAATTTTCATTTGTACAAATTCCATGTCATTCATTCTTTTACATTACTTGTTTTTTCAATGAATCACTTTAGTTCCCTTTTTACCCCAATGTGAGGAAGCTTCCATTGTTCATATATGCTAGAGGCTACAATTATTATTTTACTGGATTTCATTATGTTTAATATTTTGTTTGTGTTGATTGTATGAATAAATGAAAATGATCAAGGCATTTTGTCTTACTATTGAGCACAACTACCCTAACCAAATAGTCAATTTACCTTGTGAGTGTGTGAACTTTTGTTAACCCCTTTGGAGTCTTTTTGTCAAGTCCATGTTATTTTTGAACTTGATGCTTGTCTATGAGTATTAGTTCACCTTTTTGAATGGATGTTGATTATTTGTTTTCTTAAACCATCAACCATGTGTTGTTGTTTGAATGTTTACATTTCCTTAGAAAGTAAGGAGTATTCACACATTAGTGTTGGTTGAATTCAAGTTATGGAGAGCAATGTTTGCTCACTTATGTTGTTGATTTCTATGCGGTTGTTAAATAGAAAAGGAAAACAAAAAGAGAAAAGTTTTAAAAAAGAAAAATAAAAGGAGTATCAAATAATTATGCTAATAAGTAAGGTGTGTTTGGTGTAACACTTGGGATGAAAGAAGAAGTTTGATTGAAATTTGTGTGTTTGAGACTTTTGTGAGTTAATCACTTCCTTAGGTTTAGGTAAATTTTTGTTTCGTTTAGCTTTAGGATTTACCCTTTGTTTGTTAACCAAGCACATTACAACCTTGAAAAGCCCTTGTGATTCTTTCCTTTGTATGTTCAATGTGAATTTTTGGATGAATGCATAATTTAGTATTTTGTTTGCAAGATTTTTGGATGAGTGTCAAATCCTCACCTTTGTGTGTTTTTCATCCCTCGATGAATTTTTGCTAGGTGTGATTCATGATTTATCTTATGTTGCTTTAGATTTTTTGGTATGATTTTTTTACTTAGAATTTGTTTCGTTTTCATGTTGTCGTTGTAGGATGGTGATAGGTTTTTACTTTGCTTGTACGTCTTTTATTTGAACCATACATTGTTTTCCATTTTAAATACTTGTTGATTTGTGATTCATGGATTATCGTCTTTTGTTTCTTTAAGTTGTTTGACTTTGTTTGAGGATAAATAATGTTTTAAGTTGGGGAGAGTTTGATAAGTGCCAAAAATTCAGTGTTTTGAGTAGTATTTTGCTAAACTTATCGATTCATTTGTATTGAATTCTTTGAATAAAACCTCACTTTGTTTTGTAAAAGTGTATATTTAGTGTATACTAGTATTTCTCTTATAAAATCATTGAGTTTAATTGTTTTTATCTAATTTTTTGTAGGTATTCAAGCATTAATATTTATTTATTGTTAGATAGATCATTGAATAAGCTTTCTGACGCTTTCGACCGGCCTCAAACGGAGTTACAGTTCAAAAGTTATGAAGAAAATAAGATGCTGAATTTTTCTGTTACTGTTAGCTCTCAACGATTGGGGGTGGATGATTCTTGGATCGTGATTGACACCGCGAGATATTTTGATTCCTCTTCTCTCTTCCTTTTGTAATTTCCATTTGTTGTGAGTTTGTATGTAAGTTTACCTTGATTATATGTATATTTATTGCTCATGGTGTTGTATAAAACTCATTTTGCAAATTAATGTTGATGATTGCTTTATTTATTTGGGTTTGATTTGTTGTAGACATGGACAAGTTGAATCTGGATTTAGGATGAACATCTATTAGGTTCTAGATTCTAGAGATAGATTTAGGCTTAATATTCACTTGGGTATCGGAACTTAATGCTTATGTGTTGTTTGTGTAGCGCTGAGAAATCGTCGACGCGAGTAATACGGTCATTGTCTCACTTTGTGTTAGAGGTAATCTCTGTGTGAAAGATACGTGATAATGTTTACGAGTGATTTAGGTTGCGTACAAGTGGATAGTAAGTTTAAGTATTTGATAGGATAGATGAAATGCAAATCCGAAAGTTCTCTACTATCCAAAGAATGCATTCTTTTCTATTCATAAGTTTTATTTCCCGCATTTAATTTAAACCCATTTAAAACCCAAAATCAATAACATTTAAATTGTCGAATGGAAGTTCAATAACACTAATCTCTGTGGATACGGTAATTTTCCGGATAAATACTTCAAAAAAATTTGTTGTTTATTGCTTTTACTGCACCAACACTTTTCCAAATACTTGTTGCCCATGACTTTCTTAATTGAATCAGATTGATTCTTTGAATTCTTACTTGACTTCTCATTATTTGCAAGATTCTTTCTCTGTTTTTCTTTTTATTTATAAGACTTCTTGAGGAATCTTACTTGCAGTGCATGTTCCGCCACTATCACACTTTTTTGAGTTCCTTTGCTTCAGTTTCATCTCATGAGCCTCCATTGAAGCTTGAAGTTATTTCACCTTCGTCCCAGTTAGGTTCTTGGGACTCTTCAATAGACACGAAAATATAATCAAAATTTGCAGTCAGCAATGTCAACGCTTTCTCAATCTTCTGTAAATCAATATTTAAATTACCACACGCCTTCATCTGGTTTGTCAGTAACACCACACACGATAAGAATTTTAAGACTAATTCCTCTTCTTTCATTTGTGTCATCTCAAATTGCTTTCTCAGCGTCTGCAACTTCATCCTTTTCAACTTTCATCTCCACCGTACAGTTCTTTAACTTGTCCCACGCTCCCTCAGATGATTCTTCTTCAATGATTTTCTCGAACACGATTAGGATCCAGACATTGATGAATCAAGATCATAGCTTTTCCATCTTTCGTCCTTTGTTCCTTGTGCATAACCTTGTGAACATCGTTCACATTCGATTCAAATGCGGATACTCCATTATTCATGATTTCATCCACACCTTGAAATCTGAAGATGACTTTCATTTGCGCAAAACACATCTCGTAGTTCTTTCTTTAAAAATCGGTAGATTCGCTGAAATTTGCATTGATGTTGTATTACAATTTGCTATTTCAAATTCTCTCTGAATTGCAACTGGACCTCGTTGATACTAATTTGTTGGAACAATTAGTGTTTCAAGAAGAATCAAGAAGAGAGAGAGAGAGAGAGAGAGAGAGAGAGAGAGAGAGAGAGAGAGAGAGAGAGAGAGAGAGAGAGAGAAGAGAGAGAGAGAGATGGAGAGAGAGAGAGAGAGAGAGAGAGAGAGGAGAGAGAGAGAGAGAGAGAGAGAGAGAGAGAGAGAGATTGTATGTAAAGAGAGAATTTGGTTGAAAGTGAATTATTGTACAAAATTGTTAAGCATTTACATCATCATCTCTTTATATAGACAATCAAAAATATAAACTTACAAACTCCATCATTCAACTCAATCAAATATGCACTACTCAACTTGACAATTATATGTTATATTCAACTCTATCGAATACAACTTACTCGTATTTAACTCACTACTTCGACTATGTCGCACAACCTCTAACGATTACAAGAAATGTCCAATATTTTATGCTAAGTGAGAAACTAAATTATATTTAAATTTTTTTGTCACGTATCACTTTGGTTCTTTACTTTTAAAAATATTCTTGATTATGGTCAGACAAATTTAGAAAAAAGAACTAAAAGTAGTGTGGGGAGTAATAACCTTCGATTATATTGTGTCAATAATAAGAAAGGCCTCGATTATTCATAATGAAAAACTATTTAAAAATAAATAAAAAAATTGAAATCAACCAAAACTACAAAATAGTTATTTTAGTTTTTGCGATTTTCAATAATAACAAATATGTACGTAGGGAGATGCATGGTGTATGAGACATGTGACGTCGATGATGGAAAGAACAGAAGAGAGGGAGGAAAATGCTGCAGAACCGGAACCCAAAAACTCGAACGAGTCAACTCGTCCCGAAGATGACAACGAAGAAGAAGAAGAACCCGACGCGGTGGCGGTGGTTGAAGAGATCCAACAAGTCATCGAATCGGTTGTTCAATTCGGCGAATATCGAAAAATGCAAAGGAAGGAATCTCAAATTCTCGCTCGTCGTTTCAAACACATGTTGCCGCTTATGGAAGACCTTCGTGAGCTTCATCAACCTGTTCCTCAAAACGGCCTCGTTTGGTTGAAGAACCTTAGGGATGCGCTTTTGTTCGCTAAGGACTTGTTGAAATTGTGCAACCAAGGAAGCAAAATTCACCTCGTAAGCAACATTCATACCATCTCGTTTCTCATGGATCTTGCGTTGCGGTTGCAGAGACTACCACATCAACAACATCAACAATGTTGGAGCCACAATTGCGGTTGCAGGCCGCAATTTAAAACCATGATTATATCTATGATATATGATATTTTGTATTTGATTGCTGTTTAACAAATAGGATATTGCTGTTTTCAATTGTATGTTTTTGAATTTTAGGCATTGGAGGGTGAGTCTGTTATGATCAAATTTCAAAAGGTTTATAAAAAATTAAGCCGAGCTTTTAAAGGTGTGCCTTTTGAAGAATTAGGAATCTCCGATGAAGTGAAAGAACAGGTATTTGAATTTCGATAGCTCGGATTTTAACAATTTCTATTTCAATTCGGTTTTGGTTCCTTGCTTGTTAACATTTCTAATTAAATGATCATGAAGATTTGAGTTTGCTATTTATGTTGGTACTCTTGATGTGCATATTGAAATAATGTTGTATACTGTGGCTAAATTCAGCTTGAGCTAATGCACGTGCAACTCACGAGGGCAAGGAGAAGGACTGATACACAGGACATAGAGTTAGCAATGGATATGATGGTTGTGTTCTCCGACGACGATGATCGTAATGCGGATAGCGCTATTGTCGAAAGGCTTGCAAAAAAGTTGGAACTTCACAGTGTTGAGGATCTTGAGGTAGAAACAGTGGCTGTTGGATTACTTGCTAGAGAAAGAAAGGGACAACAAGAAGAGAGCACACAGAAAATAATTGGCCTTCTTAACAAATTCAAAAGGATTGCAGGTATGGAAGAAACCGCTGTTGTTCTTGATGATGATCCTGCCATGCCTAATAAGATGCTTTTAAGAAGCACTTCTTTGATCATCCCTCATGAGTTTCTATGCCCAATAACACTTGAAATCATGACAGATCCTGTTATTGTTGCAAGTGGACAGGTAATCAATCAATCACATAGTTCTTCAAAAGAAATTCATTTTTTCCCACACGCGGAGTCTCAATGAGATAAGATCTAAAGATAAGTTTATGGGTAGGAGCAATCCCTACTCAATCCTTACAAAACCGGCATGAAAAGTGAAAACTAAACTGCTCCACTTATAAACTCATTTTTGGATCTTATCTTATAGATAATGTTAGAAATGGATTTGTTGCAGATCCTATTTTCTAACAGCATAAGAAAACATAGATTCTTTTGTCTCTATATATGATGCTAACAAAACTAGTTTTACTAATTTTCTTGTGATTGTGTGGTTTGTTTCCATCAAAGACATATGAAAGGGAAAGTATAGAGAAGTGGTTCAAATCCAATCACAACACTTGCCCAAAGACAAGGCAACCACTGGAACATCTTCAATTAGCACCAAACTGTGCCTTAAAAAACTTAATTTCTGAATGGTGTCAGAACCACAACTTCACACTTCCAAAAATCTCCACTACTTCCTGTCAAGAAACATCTTCGACTGAAAACCAAGAAGCAATTCCATCTTTGGTTGAAAGCCTAGGGTCAATCAACTTAGAACATCAAAGAAAGGCGGTCGAGAGAATACGCATGTTATCAAAAGAAAATTCAGAGAACAGAATTTTAGTTGCCAAGCATGGAGGAATACCGCCATTAGTACAATTACTATCCTATCCAGACTCAAAAATAAAGGAACATGCTGTCACGGCACTTTTGAATCTATCAATTGACGAAGGTAACAAAAAACTCATATCCAAAGAAGGTGCTATTCCAGCTATAATAGAAGTTTTGGAAAACGGAAGTATCGTAGCTAAAGAAAACTCAGCAGCAGCTTTGTTTAGCTTATCAATGATTGATGAAAATAAAGAGGTTGTTGGAATGTCAAATGGGATTCAACCTTTGGTAAATTTATTACAAAATGGAACAGTTAGAGGAAAAAAAGATGCAGCTACAGCACTTTTTAGCTTATCATTAAACCATGCAAATAAAGATAGAGCTATAAGAGCTGGCATTGTGACACCTTTACTTGCATTGTTAAAGGACAAAAACTTGGGAATGGTTGATGAAGCACTATCTATTTTATTACTACTTGTGTTGAATGCTGAAGGGAGACAAGAGATTGGACAGTTACCTTTTATTGAAACCCTTGTTGAGTTTACAAGACAAGGAACTCCTAAGAATAAGGAATGTGCAGCATCTGTTCTTCTCGAGTTGTGTTCGAGTAATTCTTCTTTTACATTGGCAGCACTTCAGTTTGGAGTTTATGAACATTTAATTGAGATTAAAGAAAGTGGTACAAGTAGAGCACAGAGGAAAGCAAATGCAATTTTAGAACTCATAAGCAAGAGTGAACAAATTTAATTGATTTTTTTTCTTCTTCTTTTTCTAATATAGGTGCAGTTATATATCTTCAGTTAAGAGAAAGTTAATTAAACTAATGTTTCACATATTGTGATGTACAAAGTACAGTCAAAACTTCAAAAAGTGTAATTAAATTTGTTGTTTTATTCCTATGATTCTTTTTAAAATTTGAAATCCTATAATAGTTTATGAAACTTCGATTTCTGAAATTATTTTGCAGTATTTCTTATTTAAAGAAAAAACTATGTGAAGTCTTAGCATCCTTTTTAAGCTATCAAGTTTCAGCATTATAAAACTGTCACAAAAAATGTTTCAGCAAAATCACAAGGTAACTGCATACTCATGCTACAGCATTATACTGGGAATAGACTGAACCAGAGCAATGTTTAAGAATGTCTAAGAAGTGTAAGTTTTGTGATAAGAGTTTGATTTTATAATTTTTTTTCTTCTTCTTTTATGAGGGTTTAGCACCCCTTGTGCTATTTTTAATATATCCTCTTTGCTTATAATATAAAAAAAAAACATGACAGTCAGTATTATCGCTATTGGTAAAATCAAAGATGATAAAAAGATGGACGTAGACGGGTTTGACCATAAAATTGCATAATGTTAACATGGGTGAATTCTTTTAATTGAAATAATGAAAGATGATGAAATTGAAAAGTGTGAAGTTTCTAAAAGCATTTGTAATGGATGAACTATAAGAAATTAAATTAAGTCAATTATTTTTTTTCGAGATCAAAGTGTAACGTAAAATTTAAAGAATCTTAGTTGATTTAATTTATTTTTATTTTAAAGGTTGTTGCTTATAAAAAATTTAAATTTGACCTTCCATATTTATATATATTTATTTGTAATTGTTCTGGACTAGGATCGACGCTTATTCACAATCGAGCAGGCTTCAAACTCCACTGAATTTGGGCCCAATAGGACCTCACAGACTGGCAGAAGACCCGTCGGGCACAACATCTTCTCCCGTCAGACACAGGCCAACAGCAGTCGGGTAGGACCCTCGTAGCTGTCCTGCTAGCATCTTCCCCCGTCGAATAACACGAATTACACACATGATTCTTTCAACTTGGTGATTGTCGGATTGAAATTTATAGCTAACTCTTCATTTGTCATGTTCATTGGATTGACTCCCAATTCCATATTTTCCAAAGTAAGCTTTCACACTATTGGCTATTTCTCCCTCACTTTTATTTTCATAACTAGACCAAGTGATTGATAATCCTTTCTTCTGTGTGTGCGTGTGCTCGCGCGCGCGTGTTTGTAAGTGTGAGAAGTAGTATGTTTTAATTAATTTAGTTTTGTTATTTAAAAGTTTCAAATTTTCTGTATTTTATAAAGGCTTTTAAGTTTTAATTAAAATTTTCCTAATGAGACATAGGTTGTCTCATTGAATGGTATCAGAGCTTGTCGATTCAGCTCATACCGTAAGTGCCTAGAGTTATACTAACTGTATCAAATCGGATACCAAACTGGATGATAACTTTTCTTCTGTGCATTGAGTCTTCGTCTTGAGAGCTGTATAATATATTGATCTATGAAGTGTCTTTAACACACTTAACCTATTTTCCCTCCCCAAACGGTCACAAACCCAAGGTAACGAAACGAACACTTCACAAAATTCACTATATAAATACTTCACACTATTCATTATTTTCATATCAATTTCAAATTATTTATCCATACCTCTTAAATGGTTAAATATTTTCTTTTATGCATCACTCTTTTTGTCATTATCCTTTTTTTTAATTGGTATTATCAAGCATAAAGAATTAGGTAAAGATTTCGTAACAATAATGATAATTATAGTTTTACCATTACTAGTTTTAGTTTGGTTTATTAATAGAGGTTTTTAAACGAAACATGATCATAGTTTTTGTAATCATTGTTATTGAATAAATTGATGTATTTTTATTTATAAATTAAATATTGATTATGTTTGTCCTAATTTTAGATATAATCATGTCTAAGGTTAAGCATTAGTTCAACATTTTAAACATAACTATCTCTTGCATGTGAGAGACTTGACAAAATCCTTATTGATGAATCATTCATTGAGATATAAAGATACATATTTGTTATGTTCTTTATGTCTTGTGAATGATTGAACCTAACAATTTATCCTTTTCATGAAGTTATGGTTCAGAACGTCAGAAACACGAAGCGTGGTAGGAGTGCTGGTAGAGGCACTAGTAGCGGTGTAGGTACGAATGCAAGTGGTGAAGCTACTCCCAAAGGGGATGCTAACATTCTCATTGGACGAGAAGATCATTTTCAAACTAGAACGAACTCTCAAGCTGACACTCGAGACGTTCGTGAACTTGTTGCAACTGTGTTAGTTCAAACATGACCTCGACTGTTAGAGAAATTGTCACGCACACCAATTGTTTGATGATGTGCATTCGCTACTACTTTCACTAAGACAGACGAAACAATCAATTCTTGACGAAACTTATCAAGCTGAGTCTCTTGAACATAGAGAAGAGCTTTCACATCATAGAGAGACTAAGGCTTATTAGTACCATACACTTTCATAACAATTGGATTATATTCCTCAGGGAGACCATCAAGAATTGAGTTAATTTGATCTTGTTCAGAAACAATGTCACCAACTGCAAGTAACGTATTTGTTGTAGCTTTAACACGCAAGACAAATTCAATAATTATGTTATTGCCTTTCTTGATTGATTTCAGTTCAACACAAAGTTAACGAACACGACATGTCATATGAGTATTGAAATACTTATAAATTATATCTCAAACTTCAAATGCATGTTTGCACGAGAGAATACGGGGAATCACAGATTCATAAATAATAGAGAGAGGCCATATGCAAATAACTTGATCATGCACAATCCATTCTTCATACTCATAAGAAACTATGCATTCAGCTTGATCTTGTGTCGTCTTAAACTTCTGAAGAATCTGAGGGTTTAATACTACTTTATGCACTCTTTGAGCGAGAATGACACCCTCCACTTGTTGATTCTACAACATATATTGTTCTCTTCGCATCTTGATCAATAGCTTTGAACCAAAATGATGTGAGGAAAACGAATCAGAAACAAATATCATAAAACTTAAAGTCTGAAACATGCTACCAATTGGTGCAACTTGAGATGGTTCAACCAAGAAAAAAGAAGAAAACAGTTATGAACGGTTAGGTAACTAAATTCAATTAGGGTGGTTAGAGAGCAGAAGGAATCAACTCAACGAAGGATATACCATGATAGATTTCATTATTCAATCTTCTTCATTCTCATACAATCAAAATATATATATATATATATATATATATATATATATATATATATATATATATATATATATATATATATATATATATATATATATATATATATATATATATATATATATATATATATATATATATATATATATATGTGTGTGTGTGTTAATTCATAATTTATACATGATAACATCATGTGATGATATATTTCCTGTATCATAAGCTGGTATTCTTCCTAACAATAATTTATATTTATTTAACTCAATTGAATCCACCTGAGACATATTTGAATTAGTTACTACAACAAGAACAATAATTTACTCTAAAATTAAGTTACTAAAAATTTCAATAGAGGGACAAAAGTCAATTTTATAGACCATCAGGTAACAGAACAAACTCGTGATGGTTTGAAAGAGAAAAGCTGTCTGTGGTTGAATCACATCCACAAAGGACCACTATTGGAGGCATGGCCAACCATAGATAATTGCTATTGTGACTCGTGAGTGGAACTGAAAAACTTCAACTTAAGAGCCTATAGTGCCAAAGGAATATACTCTAGCACTACATTTTAAGAAAACAACTCAATATAATAAGTTTCTATATGTACTCCAATGCTTACAATCTATGCTTTTAGAATATAAATATTCACCAGTAATCACTTGCTAATGATAACTATAGTGATTAGAGTGTGAATTGAATTGAGTTGAAATTTGAGAAAGAGAGCAGTACATGAATTCTCCACCCGTGAGGAAGTAAGTGGGTCGGCAAAAGGGTAGTGGGACTGCGAGCACTCACGAGACCTAATACTGAAAAGTGACAACTTCCAAAAAGTTAAATCTATTTTTATTATATTTATAATCTAAAAAACTAAAATGACTTTTATTTATAAATAAAGGGAAAGGAGTATATGTCCTTATAGAATGACAAAAAGCTCATGAATTCTATCCTTTTCAACTTTTAGGAACCAATGGACCTATTGGCACTGAACTTCTGCTATAAATACTTATCATAGCTTCACTCTCAACATATACCAAAATCAAATTCCAAACTTCTTTCCCTTACAATGAATCTCTTATGGAAAACTCACATGAGGCTACAAGTAAAGCCCTTTATCCTCACTTAGATAATATACTTAGAGATTTTCTGCTATATTTTTCTAACCATTTATTTTCATGGCTATGCTGCTTTTTCAGGTGATTAAATTAGTCCTTACTCTCTTTGTAGTGACACTTAGAACAGCTGAGAGTAGAAAAGCCAAAATTGTAACAGCTTCATTTGAGTATAATGGTATAAATTGTAGAGCACACACTGCTTCTTTGACAGATTTCGGCGGTGTTGGAGATGGAGTTACATCTAACACAAAGGCTTTTCAGTCCGCAATTACTAACCTGAGTCAGTATGGTTCCGAAGGTGGTTCTCAGCTCTATGTTCCAGCCGGAAAATGGCTCACTGGTAGTTTTAGTCTTACCAGTCACTTTACTCTCTATTTGGATAAAGATGCTGTTCTTCTTGCTTCTCAGGTATCTCATAAATTTCCGCACTTGATATTAATCTTTACAGTTGTGCGCAGATAATACTTGTTTTATAAAATAAAATAAAAAACCTTTTTCATAATGCAATTACCTAAGAAATTTAACCCCTAGAAAAAAGACTTTATAGAGGGAATCATGTGAGTAACAAATGAGGATGATATCCAATAAACAAATGAAATGCAAAGAATGTGTCACAAGTTTCATCACTTTTGTTTTACTCTTATATTCTCACACCAACTCTATAGATCGTAGAGTGGTCCATTACATTTTTGTGTCTTCCACTATTCTGAGTGTGCCACATTTGTGACACTTTCATTATTGTGTTAATAAAATAATTTAGGATATAACTGAGTGGCCTGTGATTGAACCGTTACCATCATACGGTAGAGGAAGAGACGCACCAGCAGGAAGATTCACAAGCCTCATATTCGGAACTAACCTCACAGATGTTATTGTCACAGGTAAGAAGAACAACATATAAAAAATGTTAATCAAAGCAAAGCGCGCTAGTTGAGTGATTCGCAAGAAAGTTACAATATAAGTCTTAATATCAACCGTGACCCTTTTGTTAACAGGTGAAAATGGCACCATAGATGGTCAAGGTGCGTTTTGGTGGCAACAGTTTCATCGAAAAAAGTTGAAGTACACGCGCCCCTACCTGATCGAACTTATGTTCTCGGACGGTATCCAAATCTCAAATCTAACTCTCCTTAATTCTCCATCATGGAACATTCATCCTGTTTACAGCAGGTAAATAACCACACTTCTCATAGAAAATGTTCATATTTCCCCACTTTCAAAGACTATATAATAACAAAATTTTCAATACTATACAGCAACATTATTGTGCAAGGCATCACTATTTTTGCTCCTGTCACATCTCCTAACACTGATGGTATCAATCCAGGTCAGAATTAGAAAACATTTTATACAAAACATTCAAAAAAGTATTGGATTTGATTGGATTGATAAACTTTTTGCTCTTTTTCTTTGTGTTGATGTTTAGACTCTTGCACAAATACAAAAATTGAAGACTGTTACATAGTTTCTGGAGATGACTGTGTTGCTGTGAAAAGTGGATGGGATGAGTATGGTATAAAATTCGGTTGGCCTACGAAACAACTAGTAATCAGAAGACTAACATGTATTTCGCCATTCAGTGCAACAATTGCCTTAGGAAGTGAGATGTCTGGAGGGATACAAGATGTTAGAGCGGAAGACATCACGGCCATTCAAACAGAATCGGGTGTAAGAATCAAAACAGCTGTTGGTAGAGGAGGGTATGTAAAAGACATATATGTGAAGAGATTTAATATGCATACTATGAAATGGGCGTTTAAGATGACAGGTGATTACAATTCACATGCTGATACTCACTTTGATCCTAATGCTTTGCCGGAGATCGCGAATATTAACTATAGAGATGTTGTGGCTGAGAATGTTACGATAGCGGCTAAGTTTGAAGGAATCTCTAATGACCCTTTTAAGGGAATTTGTATTGCTAATGTGACACTAGGGATGGCTGTTAAGGCCAAGAAAAGGCCGTGGACATGTACTGATATCGAAGGGATGACTAGTGGGGTGACGCCTACGCCTTGTGATTTGTTGCCTGATCAAGGGCCTGAGAAAATCGCGGCGTGTGATTTTCCAGAAGAGAGTTTACCTATTGATAAGTTGGAGCTTAAGAAGTGTGCTTACAACATGAAATATGTTGAGATGTATTAGTCTTTGTAGGTTATGTTTATGAATGATCTTTCTTATAAGCATTTTCTCAAAGTTGAGAAGTGAATGGTGTTTCAAATTATAGTAATCAAACAGTTTTTTTCTTCTTTTTCTTTTTTATTCAACTTTATGGCTTGAGATTATGTAAGATTCAATGCTAAATATTGATCAACTATTTTCAAATCTTGTACAGATTTTTCCAAGTCTCATTCAATATCAGTATCAATATAATTTGTCAAAATAAAATTCTAAATAAGTTATCAAGTATTTAACTATAAACATGGATTTGGATCCTCTCCTTTTTTATATATCCTGCCTGGTTTCTAATTTAACGGTTCAAAATTTATAATCAATAATTAAATAAAAAAAAATTATTTAATTGAAGAAATTCCAAAAATAACAAAGACAAATTACTTATCTATTTCTCTCTCCTATTAAATGACTTTTTATTATTTAATTATTTATTATAAATTCTGAACCGTTATTTGGATCCTCTCTTTTTTTATATATCTTGTCATCTCTCATGTTTCTAATCTAACGGTTCAGAATTTATAATGAATAATTAAATAAAAAAAACCATTTAATTGAAGAAATTCCAAAAATGCAAAATCTCAATAAATAGGTGGATCGGGATTGAACTTGACAGATTCTTTCCGCATAAGTTCCTTGATATCTTGTTCAGTGAAAGACGGTTTCTCAAAATCAAAATTGAAAGGTCTAGAGCAAAAAGGTTCCACATTAAATAGGGAATATAATATACAACTTGTCTAATATATTAGGATCATATAAATTATATATATATAATGTGATTATCAATTAAGATTTCTAATATTTCAAAACGAGATATCCTAATTTTTTTTTTGGTTACAAGGCTAAAGAAACGGAAAAAAAGAAACGAAAGAATAACTAAATTCTTAAACCTTATATGTTAAGATTCAATTTGAAAAAATATGAAGATAATAAAAAGAAAAATGATAAAAACACAACAGCAATTGCATGTGACAGAAATGTATATATTATTTATGAAGATAATTCCATAAACATTACAGGTCAAGATTCAATTTAGATTATTGATTCTGGTGTATCGTATCATGTTACTCTTAGGTGTGATTTCTTCTCATCTTATATTGTTGGTGATTTTGCAACGGTAAAAATAGGAAATAAGGGAGTGTAAAATTGTTAGTATGACGATGTTTGGGTTGAAACTGGTGTCGGATGCAGGTTTAAATTGAAGAATGTGACACATACTTTTGATATTCGTCTCAATTTGATTTTTATCAAAGCCTTTGGATATAAAAGGTTATTAACTTACTTTGGTAGTGGTGGCATGTGCAAGATCACCAAATGATCACTAGTAGTAGCAAAAGGAGTAAAGTCCCGCAGAGTGCCTGTAAAGTTATGCAAGGAAGAAGTGAATGCACTTGAAGACACATTTAATGATTTATGGCATACACGACTTGAGTGAGAAATGACTCGACATTCTTGCAAAGAAATTTTTTCTCTAGGTTAAAGGTACTTCTCTAAAACTATGCGCTCACAATTTTTCTAGTAACCAACATATAGTTTCCTTTAATAGTAATGGTCCACATTGAAGGGCAAATATTCTAGATTTAGTTCACACTGATGTTTGCACGATGGATGACAAATCTTTAGGTGGTGCATTGTATTTTGTTACTTTTATTAGTGACTACTCTAGAAAAGTGTGGGCTTTTATTTTGAAATCTAAAGACCAGGTATTCGGTGTTTTCAAACACTTTTATGCAAGTGTTGCAGGAGAAAAAGGAAGGAAGTTGAAATGTGTCAGAGCTGATAATAATGGTGAATATAGAGGTCCATTGGAAGAGTACTGTAAAGAGCAATCAAGCTTGAAAAGGTTGTTCCAAAGACGCCTCAATATAATAGAGCTGTAGAGAGAACGAATTGTATAATTAAGGATAGAATCATATGTATGCTCTCAAATGCAAAATTATCAACAACAAAAATTTGGGTTGAAGCATTGATAACTGTAATGGATTTGATAAAACTTTCTCCTTCTGTTCCACTTAATGGTGATGTTCCAAACATAGTATGAACATGAAAAGATGTCTCTTATGGTTACTTTAGAGTGTTTGATTGCAGAGCTTTTGTTCACGTCCTAAGAGATGAGAGATCCAAGTTTGATAAAAGACCTAAATAGTGTGTGTTTGTAGGTTATGGCTATAAAGAGTTTGGTTATATAATGTTGGATCCAGCTGATAAGAAAATTATCAGAAGTCGTGATGTGGTATTTCTTGAAAACCAAACTATTGAAGATTTTGATAAAACAAAGAAGCCAAAATTTGATGGTAGAAGTTACACTGATGTTGTGCCTAAATCTCCTAGTGGAAATCTTGTTGATAAGGAGATATACAGGTAGATGATGAAATTGTAACCAATGACCAAGAACCTTGTCATGAAGAGAAAGTTGAAGAGGCTTCCCCTGAGCCACCAATTGAACATGAGTTGAGAAAATCTACTAGAGAGCGTCAAGTTTCTCAAAGATAACTTCCACATGAGCATGTGATGATTAATAATAATAGAGAACCACAATACTACGAAGAGGCCATTTAAATTGTTAATAAATAAAAATGGTTAAAGGCCATGCAAAAAGAAATGAATTTGTTGTGTGAGAATCACACATTTGAGTTGGCGAAATTCCTAAGGGTAGAAGAGCACTAAGGAATAAAGGGATATACAAGATAAAGTATGAAGAGAATAAATCTTAACCAATATAAAAATAAAGATTGGTTCTGAAAGGTTTTAATTAGAGAAAAGCTATTGACTTTGAAGAAATTTTCTCACATGTGGTGAAAATGACACCTATTTGAGATGTGTTGGGATTAGCAGCTAGCTTGAATCTAGAGTTTGAATAGCTTGGTGTGAAAACTGATTTCCTTCATGGTGATTTGGATGAATAAACTACATGGAGAAACCTAAGGTCTATGAAATCAAAGGTAAAGAAAAGCTTGTTTGTAGATTGAAGAATACTTCGTATGGCCTCAAGGAAGCTTCGTGACAATAATACAAAAAATTAGATTCTTTCATGAAAAGAAATGGTTATGGTAAAACCACTGATGATTATTGTGTGTTTGTAAAGAAATTATATGAAGGTGTTTATATTATTCTCTTGTTATATTTTGATGACATGTTGATTGTTGGTTATAACACTAAGAAAATTCAAAGCTTAAAGAAAGAGTTAAGCAGGTTCTTGCAATGAAGGATTTGAGGCCTGTATAATAAATCCTCGGCATGAGAATTTCTCGTGATAGGAAGAAAGGTAATTTGTGGCTGTCTCGATACGATTACATTGAGAATGTGTTAGAGAGGTTTAACATGAACAATTCAAAACTTATGAGCACTCTAATTGCTAGTCATTTCAAACTGAATTCTGAGAAATGTATTACAAGTGAAGAAGACAAAGAAGATATGAAGAATGCTCCTTGTGCATCCATAATTGATAGTTTGATGTATGTTATGGTATGCACAAGAGCAGATATTACTCATGCAGTTGGTGTTGTTAGTCAATTTCCTTATAATCCTAGTAAATATAATTGGTAAGAAGTGAAGTAGTTTTTTAGATATCTTAGAGTTATTTTGAGAGTGTGCTTATATATGCTTTGAAAGTGGTAATTTTGTGTTAGATGGCTACACACATGCAAATATGGACTACGATAACGATTCTAGAAAATCTACTTCTGGATACATGGTGATTTTGTAGGGGGCAGTGCCTTGGTAATCCAGGTTACAAAAGTGTGTTTATTTTTCTACTATAGAGGTTGGGTATATTACAACAACTTAGACGTATAAAGAACTTTTATGGATGAAGAAATTCTTATAAGAGTTTAGTGTTGAGCAAGAGAAGCCTGTATTATTCTATGACATTCAGAGTGCAATTCATCTTGGTAATGTCGCTACTGTGAAAATCGGCGCCGGCTGAACAGAAGAGTCGCCACCGTGCGTTATTTATCCCAAAGGAGGGAAAGGAAACGCTCAAAGTAAACCTACCGCAAAGACGGGAAAGGAATGGTCATCGCAACCAAATCCTGGATTCGGGAGTCGATTACGCAAGGGGAAGGTATTAGCACCCCTCACGTCCGTCGTACTTGACGGGATCCACGCTTGTTTTCTGGTACGAATTGTAAAACAATCTATCTACGACTGTTAAATCTAAATGGAAAGAAACTGACTCGATAGAGCGTCGCACTCTATGCCTACGTATTCTCAAGAGAGAAAGTCAGAGTCATCGTAGTTCGGGAAACTACAGGGAATTGGCTCGCCAAGACTTCGCGTCTTGTGCCTACGTACTTCCACACAGCATGGAAGATCAGAGCTTTCGTAGTTCAGGCTAACTACGGCTAGACAGGGTATTCTCGATCACACAGGAGTGAGAGACTAAGCTTGGTTCTAGAGGTACGGGAACCTACGGGAACTTAGAACTACGGTCGGGTCTCAATCGCACAGCAGCGAGAGAAAGGGAAACATCAGTCGTCAGCGGGGAAGTCTCGATCGCACAGCAGCGAGAGAACAGAAAGGTTAGTTGTTAGTGTGCTCGCTAGGATATCGCATCCTATGCCTACATATTCTCATTAGATATGAGAAATCAGAGCAGCTGTAGTTCAGCTTACTACAGCTAAAACCGGGAAAAAGGGAAAAGGGAGCTCGCTAGGATACAGCATCCTATGCCTACGTACTCTCGTCGGGCACGAGAGATCAGAGCTAACGTAGTTCGACGGGAAAACGAATCTCAATTGCACGGGAGCAAGAGAAAGGATCTCGATCGCCCGAACGCGGGAGAAAGGAGGCAGCAGGCCTACGCCTAAACGGGAAGGAACTTGGGACACACACGCGAGAACCTAAGAAGAAACTCCTCAGATGGCACTTCCTTTGTATCTGATGATGCAGCCCACAACACTCGCGGGTTGCCTGAAGACTTGAATACGACAATGATGATGAACGAAGCAGCTCCGGGGCTCCTGACGTACGCG